ATCATATGGAAGGGTGGGAGGGATTTTCTTCTCTCAGAGAGCTGTGAATGCAAAGTAGTTCATTTCATATTCTCTGGAGCTCTGAAATGTTTTGTTGACACACACTGGGGAGACCACCCTGAGTGGACAGGTCTGCTAACCAACCCTGACACGGAATACCTTTACTATCATGGACAGAAAAGAGTTAGTGTAGCAGGCCCAAGACTGGTGTCTTTAGAAAGGCCAACTTGCATGGTTTTGCTCTCGGATGGCATGTGAGAACCACACTTCACCCCCAAACTGATAAGTGTCAATCACTGCGCCCAGGCTCTGTACAAACAATATGTCTAATGCTGAACATCTGCTTCCCTTCTGAGAACATGGAGCTTTGGTATGTGATATGCCAAGGTTACCTAAGGGACTAAGCCCCATAGATGTTGAGTGTCTAATGAGCTTATCTGGGAAGCAACGCTACATACACGTTATTGCATCTTTTTTCAGCTGCAATAATAAGTAAATAAATAAGTGAACACTCAGAAATATTCCCCTTCAAGGGACAGAGAGAGCATAAAGAAGCCTATGCATGGATTTCTCCAGATTCTGCTAGCATCTTTCCCCTTAGCTGATCCTATTCGCCATAATGAACCTTAGCTATAAACATAACTATATGTCAGGTTCTAGAGTGCTTTTGAGAATCACCAAAAGTGTGCATATTTTGGGAGACCTTCTAAAATAGAACATAAATTCTAAATGCAAGCAACTCTCTTAAAAATTTAGTGGCTTTTATTTAGCCATTTTGTACAGAAGTTAATTAGTTACTTATCTTGAGGTATATATGAAATTTTTTATAATACAGACAATCATAAAAAATTCCTTGGAGAAAATTGTTCTTAAAACATTTCCAAATATATTTTCAGTGTTAATCAATATATGTGTTTTTATATAGTTATCTTTACATTTTTTGTATTCTGTTCTTTTTGGTTTATTACTGTACAACAAGCACGAGCTAAATTACAAACAAATGCTGAGTTTGCTGAGCCACAGTGACTTATAAAAGCAAAAAAAAGATAGGGCAGAATGAAATACCATGAGTCTGTAAATTATATCAGTGTATGGAAATTTTTATATATCAAATATGTAGTGAAATACTGAGAAAATATAAATATTTAATATAGGTAAGAAAATTGCATCATGTATTTATAACTAAATAATACATGCAAATTATATCCTTGATCCTCAAAATAAAATTATAAGGTAAGCATGCTACTTTTTATAAATTAGGAAGTAAGATTTAGAGAAATATATGACCAATTACAAATAAATATGATGCCAGGCAGGACTTGAAACCTGGATTCCTGATTCCAAATTTGGTGCTTATTAGTCAATCACAACTGCCTGCTGGAGAGACACAGAAATGGCTTTAAAGTATTAGAAAACACTTACATATTCACAAGACTCCTTTTTTCATTTTTAAATTGCTTCTAGTCACAAAAATGATAATTTTAAAAAGCTGCATTTGGTACACTAAATTTTTTTTAATGGAATGTAATCTTTCTTAGGAGTATTGGGATAATTATGAATAGAAGAGGTTTACTATGGAGAGTTAAACTGTTGAACAGGGGGAAGTAGCTAAAATAAAAGCGAATGGTCCCAGGCCCGGGGTTTAGCTCAGTGATTTTCCACCACCTGCCTCGCAAGCACAAGGTCCAGAGTTCCATCCTGGGTACCAAAAATAAAAAAAAAAGAAGAAAAGCAAAAGTGAATGGTCTCAAAGCAGGAAGAAGTGAGAAGTGGAGTGGCTGACAAGATGTGGAGGCAGGACTTGAGGACCCTTTGCAAGGCAGACAGCCAAATTCTGGCTGCAGAGAAAAGTCTCCAGTCACCGTGCAAACAAATCGTCAAAAGTAAAATACAACCTCTCCATGCTTATTGGAATATTGTTTAGAAACAAATAAAATATTTAGCAAGTAAACCAGAATAGCTTATCATTAGTGGGCTAGTAGGAATCTGAATTAGCATATCTGAATGTAGGCAAGGATTGAAAGGAAGTTATTGGGCTCAATACTCTGAATTTCACTGTCCTTCCACTCCATCAGGAAGAACTTGTGAAGAACTTATAGCGACTTCCAGTAGTGACCCATTGGCCATATCACAGAAAAGCCAGATGAAAAATGCTACATGTATGTCCCCAGAGTCAAGGCAGAAACTAGATGTCAGTATTTGGATACTCAAGAAAGACAAATTCTCAGGAATATCAACTCTGGCCACATGGAATATTCAGATACAGAGAGACACTGGAAAGTGTATGATATTTGGAACAAGCAGAAGGAAGAGGAAGGCATATGAACAGAGGCATCAATCTCTTTGAGTGTAGTGTTGAGAACTCAGCCAGAGTGCGGGTGATTAGGAGCCAGCTAGAGGCTGAGTGACTTTTGGCAGATAATCTCGCTGAAGGCTACTTAGCTTCAAAATAATAGTAATATAATACTATCCACCTCATACATATTGGTGAATGAAGAAAAGTATACAGTATAAATTGTACAGTACCTAGTATGTAGAAAATGTTAACAGTATCTGTCATATTATTATAGTATTAGTGTTAGTATTAGTGTTAGGCCTCAAAGTAAGTTACCATCTATTAAAAATAAAAATTAAAACTAGATTTAAATGGCCTTTCCTTCCACAAATGGATGTATTTTGTAAATTATAATAATTACAATTTGAGATTCATAAGATGATGAATTATCTTCTGGTTTTAATTGTGTAGGGGTACAATGTGGTTTGGTATGAATCATGCGATATCAAGTTCAAAGGGCACACCCAAATCTAGCCAGTGTATCCCACTTCTGGTATAAGAGTGCCAAAGAAATTACTTTATTTTACATAATTTTATTTTTACAAGAAAATAAAAAAAGCCTGCATCCACTGGTTTCATCAACTTGCCGAGACCTTACTTACTGAGCTGTCCAATGAATATTGCCAGTTCCATGGTCCATGGAAGAAGGATTAGTTTATTGGGTTTGCAAACCCAGACAGATACTCCTGCATAAAGTGCATTTTACTCTGCACAGAAAATTAGGCTAATACATCTCTATGGCTCTGGCATTGTTAATGGTATACTTCCTGAAATATAACAAAATCCTAATTGTTAAATTTGGTTGGCAGGTCTGTAAAAATTCTACTCATAGTAAATGAAGGAAGAGGAAACAATTTTATCAAGGAATCATGGAAAAAATGAGAATCAGAACTGTGTTATTCCTGATTATCCCATTTAACCCAATATTCCATCAATCACCTAAATAGCCAAATACAATTTTTATGTATTCTTTATACTCCCAAAATTTATGAGTTCTTATGTTCTAAAGCAATTTGTTGCTTCAGTTAATTTTGAGATTATTTAAATTTTAAACTAACTATACAGATCCAGATTGCTCTCAATTTAAGGAGAAACAAATGGCCTTCTTTGCCTGGTGTCTGATCACATATACTGAACTCCACCGAAGCTCCTGCTACAGTGTTCACATGAAGACCAAGGATGGTCTAGGGTAGTGTAGAAAAAGAACAGCTCATTACTTTCCTTAAAATTGTTATTATAAGAACATCTTGCATTGTGATACCATATTTCTCTGAGAAACAGAGAATTCTAAATAGTCTATTCTGTGCTCCTGGACAGCTAAGATTAATTCTTCTAAGTCAGATTGATTTGTGGGAATAATACAAAATGTACTAATTTGCATTCATTTCAATATTATTCTGTGATTTTTTTTTTAATATTATAAAAACACTCAGAGATTAAATTTGAAAAGTCTTTGGATGTTGGAATAATGAGCACCTTTTTGTTAAAAAGAAATAAAACATAAAAGCAATCCTAGCGGGCATAAAATTTAAAAACATACTCGTAGGAGAAAAATAGCCATTTCTTTTAGTAAAAATAAGCAGCCATATTCATTCAAAATACTATTTGATATACTCATATGAAACATTCCAAAAATGCTTCATTCATACAGAGAGACTATTAAGCAATTTATATACACCATATTGACTTTCTTTACTCCCCAATTTATTCTTCTCCCATGGTGTTTATAACATCTGTTTACCCAACTACAAAACTTCAGAGCATTATTGAGTTTCTCTCTTTTATAAGCACTATGCATTCAGATTGTGAACAGTTGGTGGGTTTTTGTTTTGTGTTTTTTACAACGATGCAATCTGCAACGCTTCTCCTCCTGACCTCCGGAAACTACCTGTTGCAATTCTATCACTTCAAAGGAAGATACTGAGGCCCAGGGAGGTGTACTTTTTACCTAAGGCTACTAAGTAATACAGAAATTTAAAAATGTAAGTAGGATCAAAACCAAGGTCTAAGTCTCAGATTATTGCTCTTTCCATTGCCCCTCTTTTTCTGTTGGATACACATAACATTTCTGACATCTGTCTCCTCTTGCTATGCCCTACTGTTAACTTCATGCTTTCAAATCACAGTTCTTACTACACCAAATTTATTGTTCCAAATTTTCAAAAAATTGTAGCTAAGTGCCTTAACTTGGCATTTACAGCCTTCTGTGATCTACCACAACTTATTCCAGAGCATTTCATTGTCAGGAAGTAATTCAACAGATATTTATTGAGTTCTTATTACATATCTAATATTGTATTCAATGATGCCAAAATGAATTTCTGGTCTTATTTAAGGAGCTAATCGTCTCACAGCCTTTTTTTTTTTAAACATATGTAGACATAGTCTGTATAGGAGTAACTTAAATTATTTTATACTGCTCTACTCATAAAAAGTAAAAAAAAAAATGTAGACAAGCATATATACCAGAAGTACTTTTCTATGTTGATACCAAACTTACATAAGAATCAGAATCAAATAATATATCAATGATCTATGCCTTATCTGACTATCCAAATTCAAGTAAGCTATATTTATATGTATAGTCTTATTAAACTGTAGGAATATACTAAATATTATTTAAGTAAAAGGGGAGATTAAAAATTGCTTTGTAGTACCTACTTACCAGGAGGATATACAATGTTGTCCGTGTTTCTTTGGGTCCGGTTTATCAGGGTGGTGGTAAGATTCACTGTTGGCTTCTTAAGTGTATTAAGTTTCTTTAGCTTTTTTACATGCTTCTGAGATTCGGCAACATTTGTCAGACTATCAGACCACAAGTGATCTATATACCGAGTGAAATTAGATAGGGCAGCTTGAGTTTTTATTTCAATTATTGATTCTACAAATTCCATCAGACTTTTCTGCACACTAACTGGCAAGGAACCTTCTATACACTTAGGTGTGGTAACATTTAGTTCTGATGAACTTGTAGAATCATTATGACACATCATTAGAAGTTCATGAAGAGTTTTGTTAATCAAAGAGAAATTAATCGAAAGGTGGATGGATTTTGCTTCCAGGGCCTTAAATCTGGAATTTAATACCTGTAGTTGAAGAGCTTGATCTCTCTCATTTGTGTTCATGCTTCTTTTATATGAAATATAGTAAGGTAAAAGTGTCTGGGTCACTTTAGATTCAATGACTTGCAGCCTAGTTTCAAAATTTTTGAAACTTTTAGTGGCTGAGATTAAATTTTCTTCCAGATGACTTATATTTTCCTGATACTGGGAAGTAGTTTTATTGAATATTTGGTAAATTTTTTGAAAGTTGGACTGATGCAGTTTCTCATCTTTAGGAATATCTGCAAGGGCCTTGGCGACTTGTAAGACAAAATTATATCTCTGATTGTCATTGACCAAAATCTGAATGGAATCATTCAAATGTTGGAATTCAGTAATAAATGTCAAAATGGTTTCCATATTTTGGTTGCATTTGTGATGGACTTCAGGATTACACTTAGTAGTATATAAAGTCTCTTTCAGCACATAGTTGTCTTGAATGAAATCAATGGCATTATTCATAATAGTCACTGTCTTATTTAGGCCATCTTCCATTTCCAATGCATGTTCACTGATACGTCGTTCAAAGGCATTAGTCTGACTCTGTACTTCATTTCTAAGTAAGTTGTGTCGTTTTGTAAGTTCTTTGATTAGAAAATTTAGGCTGTTGACAGCACTGATCAGATTTTCCACTTTTTTCTTTGTAACTGCTGCTTCTTTTGGTTGGTTGTATGTCATCGTCTGTTGAAGTGATGCTCCCCGCTCAAGAAAGGGTTGAAGAATCTCCATGTCATATGCCAAATCATTTAGTTGCTCACCCATTTTATCCATCTTATTGTCCATTGGAAAGAGAACCTCCGCCAATGTTTGGTTTAACACCAGTAAATTCTCTTCTGTGTCCTTAAGTTGAAATTTAAAATCATTTCTGCACTTAGCTAGCATGTCCTCACATTCGCTCCTGATGGATTCTTTCTCCTTCTCCAAACTGATGGTGAGATTGTTAATCTTGCTGTCTTGGATGTGGAAATCATCAAATATTTGAAGCAACATCAAACCTTGCTTGCTTATCTTCTCATACAGAATAGCCATGGATGCGGTGACATTGTTGCTGACTGTTTCTGCAGTGGGAACATTCTTTCTGTCTGACTCTCGTTCAGTAGATAAAAGCTGATCATGTACTTCCTTCATTTTAGCAAGAGTCTTATTGAGGGATTCATAATACAGAACGCCTGTCCTGTGTTGTTGTTCTAGAGCACCTTCTAAATGAGCTTGCTTCACTTCTAGTTCTTTAATAGGCTTCTCACATGTAGTAGTCATTTCTTGCCTTACATTAATAATGCGATTCTTTAGGTCTACTATATCAGTCAAAGTGGGCTTATTTTCTTGGATTAAAACAGACTTTTGCTGGACAGCTATTGAAGCCACAGACTGATTCATTTGTCGAATTACTTGCCTGGTGTTTTCCAGGTCCTCTGATAGACTTGATACAGTCTTGAAGAGCTGTGCCACAGTCTCTTGCATGTCATTTCGAAAGACTTTAAATTGCTCTCTTACTATGTCCTTCACCAGATCATTAATGCTTTTGGATTTTAGACCTAAACAAAGAAATAATAAATATTAAGAAGAAAGATATGATCTTAAAGTCTAAGATTTTGCATATCACTAACAAGATAAAGTTTGAGATTAAATACTAATAATGTACTAATGAAAAATTCTGTAATTTATTTACTTACGATACTTAAAATTATTATTTATAGATGGTGATTATCTTAACTGATAAATCGGACTGAAGAAATCAATTGTGATATTGAACATACTAGAACCACAAACCTAAGAAGATATGCAGAAAATGACCCTTGTAGGTAATAATTCTAGATCTAGTCTTGAAGGAAAAAGGGCTTTGGGGTTTGTGCCTTCATAAATAATACCTATTGCAGCTTTCCTCTACACAAATGACAGACTCACTGAGAGAGAAATAGGGCCAACAATTCCTTTCACAATACCATCCAAAAAACTGAAATACCCATGAATCAACCTAATGAAAGAAATCAAAGACCTCTTCTCTGAAAACTATAGCACTCTGAAAAGAGAGATTGAAGATGGTATCAGAAAATGGACAGACATCCCCTGCTCCTGGGTAGGAAGGATTAATACAGTGAAAATGGCCATACTTCCAAAACTGCTATATAGATTCAATGCAATTCCAATTGAGATCCCAGCAGCATACTTCATGGACCTTGAGAAAACAATCCAAAAATTCATTTGGAACAAGAAGAGATCCAGAATAGCAAAAGCAATTCTAGGTAACAGAGACATGGCAAGGGGTATCACAATCCCTAACCTGCAACTATACTACAAAACTACTGTGATAAAAACGTCATAGTACTGCCAAAGAAACAGACCTGAGGACTAGCGGAACAGATTAGAAGATGCAGAAACAATGCCAGACACACCCAGCCATCTCATCTTCAATAAAGGAGCCAAACACCCTCACTGGAGGAAAGATAGCCTCTTTAATAAATGGTGCTGGAAAAATTGTGTTTCAACTTGCCAAAGATTAAAACTAGACCTGTATCTCTCGCCATACACTAAACTAAAATAGAAATGGATTAAAGATCTAAATATTAAAATAGAAATGCTGAACTAGTTGGAACAGAGGTTAGGTAGAACTCTTGAAGACATTGGTGTAGGAAAAGATGTTACAAACAAAACCTCAGTTGCCCATGAACTAGCACAAACAAACAACAAGTGGGATCTCTTCTTATTAAAAAGCATCTGCACAGCAAGAGAAACTACCAGCAGTGTGAAGAGACAACCCACAATGTGGGAAAAAATCTTCACCTGCTCTTCCTCAGACAAAGGTCTACTATCTCCAATGTATAAAGAACTGGAAAAGATCAGACCTCCCAAATTTAAAGACCCAATCTGAAAATGGGCATCTGAAATGAACAGACATTTCTCAGACAAAGAAGCAGAAATAGCAAATAAATACATGAAAAAATGTTCAACATCACTGGTCATTTGAGAGATGCAAATGAAAACAACACTGAGATTCCACCTCACTCCAGAAAGAATGGCTGCTATCATGAAATCAACCAATTACAAATGCTGGTGGGGCTGTGGGGAAAGAAGAACCCTGCTCCACTGCTGGTGAGAGTGTAGACTGGTGCAAGCCCTGTGGAAATCAGTATGGAGATACCTCAGAGAACTAGGACTGGAAGTCCCATTTGACCCTGCTATTCCACTGCTGGGGATCTTCCCCAAAGAATTAAAAGAATCATACCACAGTGATATATGTGCACCCATGTTCATAGCAGCACAGTTTGTGATAGCTAAAACTTGGAAACAGCCCAAATGCCCATCAACTGGAGACTTGATAAAGAAAATGTGATTTTTTTAATAAAATGGAATACTACTCATCCATTTAAAAAAATGAGAAATTAGAGACATTTATAGCTAAGTGGATGCACATTGAGGTGATACTCTTAAGTGAAATAAATAGGACACACATGTATAAATACCAAATAATTTCTCTGGTGTGAGAAACTAAAAGTGTAAATAAGCATTAAAAGGTATAATAGGTAATGTGAAATAGGAAGAAAAGGGCCAAAGGGGAAGGAAGTGGGCAGGCTAGGGGAAAGGAAAGAAGGGAATGGAATTAATATGAGAAAATGGAAAAATAGGAACAAAATCTTTGTAAATAGGGAGGACTGGAGGGGTTGAAGGGAGGGCTGGGCAAAGGTGAAAAATAAGAACCAAGAGAGATTATGTAAAGGTGCAAATTTTCAATGATGAATGTCATTATATTGTATACCTGAAATGTACCAATGATTGGAATGAATAATCAATAATGCAAAATAGGAAGAAAAGGTCCAAAGGGGTAGGGGTAGTATCTAGCTATGGAGCTATGGTAGTATCTAGCTATGGAGCCCATATAAATGGAAGGCATGTCCATTAAATTACAAAGACCAGTAACTATAAGATGTAGGCAACATAACACAAAGGACTTTCTAACGAAAGGCCTATATAATGGTATACTACTACATGAATTATTGCTATATAATCCATTCATGGCCCAGCTCTGATGACTTAGCGTACCCTGTCTCAAAATAAAAAGCAAAAAAGGCTGGGGATATAATTCAGTGCCTAGGCCTTGAATTCAATCCCTAGTACCATCAGAACATCTGTATGTATTACAAAATTGAATATATGATGTATATGATATATGATAACAATGAATATATTTCCTATGTATTTCTATTTTGGAAGCACATTTTCAAAAGTATTTACCATTCATGAAGGATTTGCATAAAAAGAACTGTGAAAGAATAATGGTAATAAAAAACAGGAATTATCCATTGCTTAACATTTTGATATTAATTTGGCACAATGACAAAGCTATAAATGTGAATGGCTGTTCCCAGGGACAAACATGTCCCTAGAAATCTGCATTACTAAAATTCAAAATTGCTACATTAAAGAAAAATTGTATTTTACTATTTCTAAACCTATTGGAAGCTGAAATAAAGTTAGAAATCCCACAAAAATGTGAAGATCAATTTGTATGTAATGGAAATAAGTAATAAAAACATGTAAAACATGGAATAGTCAGTGACACATAGTACCAAAGTACTAAGAAAAGGATAAAATAATATGAAAAGTTTAACCAAAAAATTAGAAACTATACAGAAACATTCTTAAACTTTGTATCTAAGAACAAACTAGAAAGTTTTTAATCTATTTTTATTTACTAAATTTTCGCTAGCATTTAACCAGTCACCTATTTATTCAATAAATTGTTTTTAAAGACATTCTAAATCTTATACAGAAAATGAAATTTGTAAAATTAGACTTCTGGTCTCAAGAACAGAGTATGTTAGTTTCAGTAATTGTAAGGTGCTACTCAATGGTAAAATTATTTATTATTTATTTATTTGGTACCCAGGATCAAACTCAGGACCTTGTGGTTGCCAGGGGTGTCACTAAGCTACATCCCTGGCCCTAGCAATTTTTATTGCTCTTTCTACAGGATAATTTGGTCATCATGTATTAGTTAAAATTGCTTTGAATTCTCATGATCCTCAAAAACTTGATGAAACCATAAAGTATATTTAAGGTTGAAGATTAGATCTTTGAGTATATAAGCTCATGATTTTGACTTAAGATATTTTTCAAGATCAAAAAGGTATAATGGAACTTACACTTTATTGAATTAATTAGTTGTGGTGTTAAACACCACCAAACAAAAATGTATATGACCTGAATCAAAACATGGATAACAGGTAAAAATATGGCATATAGATAAAATTCAGTAAAGAATCCTGATCAAAGTACTTAGGAAAAAATTATAAAAAAAATAACAATACGAAATACTTTAGATGTAATGCTTTAAAATCTCTGCAAAAATACATCGGAGAAAGAAAAAATGATTGTGGTGTCTAAAAAGGTATCAAAAAAACTATTAGCTTAAAATTTTGTTTATGATAAAGATCTTTTCAGATTATATTATTATATTATATTTCTACACTTTGTTACAGAAACATCTGTGCAAATTATTTTGTTTCATGTGATGTCAGTACTTCTACTTTCTTAAAAAGGTAATATTGTATTTGGTGATATAGATATATTGGTTTTATGGCTGGTATTTAGATGTTCCCCTAAAGTCTCATGAGCTCATAGGTGGGGTTTTTCAGAGGGCTGGATCTCCAGTGTGTGAGTGTGACTTATGGGCTTGTGATAACTGAATTAGCCCACTGATTGAAATTAGCATAGTTCTTGGTGTGGTGTGGTTGAATGGATTTACTAAAAACAGAAGCCCCACCCTGGGTTAGTGGGTGGTACTAAACAATAGGCTTCTTACCTGAATGGAATTTGAAGGAAAAGGAAAGCTCACTGCTTTCTGCCTGCCATGCCGTGGACCATTTCTCCTCTGTGATGCCCCTCTGTCATGCCACTCTCTCTTGGAGCCAGATGACTATGGACTGAAACCTCTACAAACTGTGAGCTACACTAAACATTTTATCCTTTAACTTGTGGGTGTCAAACATTTTGTCCAGCAATGAAGAAGTAACTAAGACAATTGGTATCAGATTGCTCAGCCCTTCTGTGGTTGGCAGTGTAGGGCCTTTACATAACACTTGGATATCTTGCAAGGTGTTGAGATACTTAATTTTCAATAGTTTCTATGGCAAGCAGATTAAGCTGTGTTCTTCACCTTGAATGTGAAGCAAACAAGGGAAGAAGTTGTGGTTTTGCTGGGCAATTGGGGACCCTTTGGGGGTGGGCTTGGTTTTTTGTTTCTTTAAGAGTATTCATTAACTATAAGCCCTCTGGTTCTCATGATTAATGACTATGCTCAAGACACAATTAATCCCTACTATTGAGAAGGGAATTACATTATTATTAGTGTATATGTATTTTCCTGTCAGTGCCTGAATTTTTAGTAGGGTAGCAGGTCACAAAAAAGCAGTATACAGGTCTAATTCTCTCAGATTGTGACAACCAAATTTTGGTAAACAAATTTCATTCATGTAGTTACAGCCAATTGTATATTGTTTTTTATGGTTTTTTTCTTATGTTATCATTTTAGAGCAAAAGAAGTTCTTCTTTTATGGGTAGCATTGGTAATTTTGGCCACACCAAATATATAGAACAGGGTTTCTTTCAGTAGCTGAATAGCACCAGTTATTTACATGATTATAAGACAAAAATTATGGTTTAGTTGTAAAAGTTTCTGTACTGGTAAAGAATATGTCAAATTTCTACCTACTTGTCTTTTTCAACTGTGAGCTACAATAGAGAAAAAAATAACTTGTGAATCATAGAAGTAGGGATGTACGGTAAGCCTCAGTTTTATGAATAAGGAACCTATAATCCTGAGGCTTGGAAACATACAGTAAACTCAATAAACTGGCATGCTTCTAGGAACCAAACTAATTCCCTGAAATATTCAAGACCTATTTGAAACCCCTTTGCCTGGTTAATGTCTCTTAATCCCTAACACATCAGTGAGGATGGTTTCTCTTCCTAAAAACCTTCCCTTTTTCTCTTACTCTGGATTTGTTGCAAATCTCAAATGGCACCATTATAATCTTTGTGTAACGCTTTCATAGCAGTCACTCACTATATAAAATCTTGATGGTAGGCACAATATAATGCCCTCTCCTCCCTACTCCCAGAAAGTCATTTCCTACTGTGCTGTACCTGAGAATATGTTATCCTATATGGCAAAAGGGACTTGGCAGATGTGATTAAATTTTTATTTTAATATAATACAAGTAAATATGATGTGATTAAATTTAATGATCTTGAGAGAAGATTGTCCTGGTTCATCTACGTACATGGACCTAATCTAATTCCATGAGTCCTTAGAAGGGAAAGAGGAAGGCAGAAGAGTGGGTTGGGGAGTTATAATGAAGACTCAACACCCTTTAGCTAGCTTTGAAGATGGAGGAAGAAATCCATGAGCCAGTGGAGTAGCCTCTAGCACCTGAGAATAGGCCCCAGTTTACAGGTATCAAAACACCAGGGAGGCCAGGGATTTAGCTCAGCGGCACCACGCCTGTCTCGAAAATGCAAGGACCTGAGTTCGATCCCCAGTACCAAAAAACAAAACAAAACAACAACAACAGAACAACAACAGCAAGAACAACAACAACAAACCACCAGGGGCCTCACTCCTGTAACTGCAACAACAACAACAAAAAGATTCTGCCAACAACTCAAATTAATAGGAAAGGGATTGTTCTATGGACTCTAGAATGGAACAGCTTCTATTTAACCTTGTTTTAAGAGCACAAAATTCAGACAAAGCAGAGTCAATTTATAAAGAAATCAGTGTTTCTATGAACTGTAATATTTTAGGATGTACTCTAATAATTATATACTATGACCTAGACAATTTCTGGAGTAATCACTTCAGATTTTTCATCAATGTCTCCATCAACAATATTGATACAACTGTGTATCTAGTTCCTTTGATATCCATTCCTTCACCACAATCTTTGTCTTTGAACAGGATATTACCCATAATGGATCTGTGGGATCATTTTAACTATAAATAAATAGAAATTAGGCTATAGCTAGATATACAATGTCCATAAATAAGTTGGAATATTCAGTTGAAAATCTGAGTTTATAGTAAAAATATTTTAATGCACTATTTTAAATTATTTCAGAGGTTGAGTGATTTTTAAATATCTCATTCAGACATAAAAAATGTTCATACAACCCAATTTAAAGCAAAAATCCCAAAGTGACTTGAGAAAAGATAAGTAAATCATTTGCCTGTTGTCTTAACCAAATGAATATTTTATGTTACCTTTACCTTTTAGAAAAGATTGAAATTCTCTGTTTTTATCTTCGCTGATTTTTCCTTCTAATGAGGAATATGTGGTCCTTAAGTCACCCACAGCCACATAAATGCTATCCATCATCTTCTGCAGAGTAGTCAGCTTCACTGCCTGCTGGTTCATCTGGTCAGTCAGTTTCTGCACCACTGCTGAAGTGGAGAGAATATTGGAACCATTAAAAAATTCTATGTTTAGAACTACCCAAATATCATGATAGGTTTAAAGGTTATTCATATAAACCATATTTGCACTAATATGTTTGAAAATAGACTACATTCATTTACCAAATGGCAACCCAAAAGCTAAGGCTAAAGGAAGACATTTGTAAAAGGTACTATATTTTTTAATTTCTAAAATGTTGAACATTGCCCAGAATGTCAATCTTTTTTTTTTTTTTAATCTCAAAGAGTTATTGTCACACTCTCAATAGTTGGAAAAAACTGAGGGTTGAAAAACAAAAATAACTTGTTTGAGGTTACAGAGCTAATGATTCATATTCTGCTTCTAGATCCAATGACAAAGCATTAAATATGTGCATGCATACATAAAAGAGACAAGCTACACTAAGAGAATTTTGTTAGTTACAGACTCAGGGTTGAGAAAGAATCACTTCATATAGCAATGATACTTTCTATCACTTTATACATGGATTTTAATAACTTAAGTATTTGACTATTTTCTAAAAATACTGAATTCCAATCCCTTAACTATAGTAGAGAACAACTTTTAAGGCATATTCACCTGCATTCTTAAAGAGATCCCCTTAAGTCAAGATTAGATCTACACTAAACACAGTGAAGGGACATTAGCAGTAAACAAACTAATATTCCTAAGGGCAAAGTTGAACCTAAAAGAAATGGAACAGTATTAATGATCAGAAGGAGTAGAACACAGGTGACATGCCAACTTTTGATCAACATGAGGTTCTTAGTCATCATGTTTTCCTGAGTCAGAAAGTAATCCCTATCTCTTGATCTCCTAACCAATGGAAGAGAGGCTTCTCAACACTCTTAATGCAATCAACTCATGTCTTTCATGATCATGCTTCTTTAAGGTAAAAGTTTGCTTTTACTTTGGAAACCTCTTTTTTTCCTTATCATCCAGCATCTCATTTTTATTCTTTTTTCTGTGTTTGCATACAGCTCTACAATAATTATCCACTGTCCTTTCCTGGGGAACCCATAACACACTCAATTTCTCCCTACACTGGGCACCAACAGGAAGGATTGAGAGATATGCTAATGTGTTTCCATCACGCATTTGACAGCCTAGAGATTTCTTGTTTGAAAGTTGAAATATGTAGTGTTGACAATAATTGGGTTAGAGAGATAGTAATTGCAATCCATGACCTGGGTTGCCACAGTCTTGCTGCTGCTGTAGCTGCGTCTGCTCCACTGTTCCTCTGTCAACAGCCGTGTGACTCTCAGCCTGGTTGCTGTGCATCAATTGCTGCTGTTCCTGGGCTAGATGGAAGGAAAAAAAAAAACAGAGAAGAGTGTTAAGCATTGGAACTGCCTCAATTTTTCCAGTCCTGAGCAGTAGTGTGGCTGACATTCATTTTTCTGTGCACTGAAGCATGATGGTCAGGATGATTGCAGAGTAAGCTGCTCCACCCCATGCATAGACCAGTGTGACTGTGACACAATGTTGGAGCTGGAAGTGCAGGACTGTAATTCTGTCTGGGATAAGATGAAATTATTCAGAATTCCTTTAGGCACAAATGGATGGTACTTTGCAAGGGGAGGGGGTGCATAAAGTAGCAGATGTAAACTGCCTGCATAATTTAGTGGAATTTAAAATCTGCTGTGTTAAAAGCTAGAGCAGCCTGACAAGTGGACTGGCACAAATACTGACTGTTTAACAATGCAATTTCCAACTCCTGACTACTGGAAATAAGGGAGAGCTACAGGTTTCTTCCTAAAAACAGTGGCCTTTTACTACTGCCACTTGAGTGGGCTATGCCCAGATTTTTAAGAAATACATAGTCTCCAAAGGACTAAAAGTAAAAATAAACTATTACAGATATACCTCAGTTATTGTAATTTCATAAGAATTGAAATGCTTATATCTAATCTTAAGGAATTCCATTTCCCACGAATGTGTAATATTTTGAGTGGCAATGTAACTTTTAATTGGGAGAAACAATTTCAAGAGAAGATTCAGTAAAAAGGCAATAGATGAAGTAATGTAGAGTCTGAATGAACAAACTTATTCATTGAAGTTTTCATATCAGACATGGACAAACAAGAGTTTGGTGTCCCATTAGGCTTGTTTTGATGTGAAATTATGTGCCAATTAAATTCTGTACCTCTGGTCCATATTAATTATGTCCCCTAAGGCACAGACAATAACACTAGAGTTCTTCTACTCTATAAAAAGTATAATACATTTGACACTAATTTGGGTTAGTCTCTATAGTTAGATTGAATTTGCATTCCTTTTCTTCAGGGCATTGATCTAAATAAATGAATTTTGATTCATGTCCACTGTTTCCTTTTCATTTTTCCTCCACTTTATTATATAAAGTCCACTGTAACTTTTATTAATTCAATGGAAGAAAATAATGTGCAGCTTGGGAAAAAGTGTAATTATTTAGGGGTGGGGTGGGTGAAGGAAAGCATTAATTTTTTGCCAAGTCCTAGCAATAAGTTTCTCAGAGTCTAAATTCAAACTAGTTCATACAAATGTATCTATTAAAAGATTGCATGTGTTCTATCATGCCTTCTCCCTAGATGATATAATAAGATTTTTTCTGCCTACTTGAATGTCACTAGAGAATAAAGCTAGTTTTCAAACCATAATGCCTAGATTAGCAATAACAACAAACCTTGGGAAATTTAGGTGGGCAGCTTCTAGATCCTCCTCCAGACCAGAATGTAAGAAATTTAAGAAATTCTGAGGTTGAACAGCAATCTGTATTTCTTTTTTTTTTCCCCCATTAACTTTATTGGTACATTTTCGGTATACAATACAGTTACATTCATCATTGGGATCTTGTACCATTACATAAGTCTCTTGGTTCTTATTTTTTTTCCCCTTCCCTTGCCCTCCCTTCACCCCTTCCACTCTTCCCTATTTGCAAAGACCTTGTTTCCATTTTTTTTCTCTTCTCATATTTTTTCCTTTCCCTTTTTTCCCTTCCCCTACCCCTCCCAATTCCCC